TTAATCTGAGTCTGTCCTTTTACCAGTTATAATGTCTGCAGTATCCTTTAAAAAATCGTTGTAAATTGCTAAACAGAAATAGGCTGTTGAGACAAATGGAAATACAAACATTATTTGCTTGAGATAACGTGTGTGGCAATTTGGCTGCAACTAGTAATTTTGATTCTGAGGAGGATTTACTTTTTGATTGCAAAAGTTATGACAACGGTGCTAAGAAGATGAAAGCTGTTGAGGTTACAATATATGAATTTGAAAAGTAATCTGTTTTGACCACATCAAATAAAAAGCTATTGGCATTTGCACAATAGGTACCTGCTCCAGAACTGAGCTCTGACTGTAATCTTGACCCCTGCTTCTACAGCATTCAGCAAAAATAAATGACTTGGCAAATTAAATTCATTGTGCTCAATGCAAGCTCAGTTGCTTGCATAGCTTCAAGTATGTGTAAATAGCGGTAGAATAAATACCTAGTTTGAGATGTTGAAGTCCTCTTTGATAATATCATAATATAAACTTTTTGTAATGGACAGTTTTTCTGAGCTTTTATTTTGCTTCCATTAACATGCATATATGAGAGAGATTACAGAAGTTGACCTTTACTGCTATTAAACAGTAAATGCCCATTCCTTCTCAAATCTAATGGAACTCTTGTTCTTAACTGGTCTACCTACAACTCACCCACTTCATGGTTGGTAGGGTGGAATCTCTTTTCTTAAATATAGACTCAGCAGCTCAGTCACTTAACGCTAACTGCGATACTGAAATGCAAGTAAGCATTGTGTAGGGATGTATGTGTTGTCTGGGTATAAGTCAGATCAGGTCCGGAGGAAATCTGGCCATGTTTTTCTGTTGTTATGTCCAAGGGTAATTGGCTGTGTCAGCCATCAGGGCTCATTACTTTGGACTCAGCATTGCACTAGCATGTTTAGACTGTACCAGAACAGGTTGGTAAGCTTACAAAGCACTGTTTTGCACCTTCTGCACTACCACAACAGATTTCTGCTAGTTCTGGCTATGACTTAATGTTCATGTCATAGCCTTGTTTTTACTGTGGATGGAAAGAAGGAAGGCAAAAACTTTTAGGAACAAATGGTTTAACACCACTAGAAAAGATCAAGCGTGAGTTCAGTTGTAATGACTGCTTCTCCTAGTTCCAATGCCATAGTGGCAGGTCTTGTTTTCTTCTATTCTTTCTCTCCTCCTGAGAATATATACATACATATATATATATGTATTTCTCACTGGTAGCATATATCACTGAAAATCACTTTAGTATTAAGGCTTATTGAGATGTCAGCACAGAAGAGTCTGGTTTTTTGCGTTTGTCCTAACTATCCTGCCTTACATATTCTTTGCACTGGCAGCCCAAACTGATTGTGGCACGTTGCATTATAACCAACCTACCCTTTTCCCACTTCCCTCTAAAGCAGATTGGAAGGATAAAATTTTAAAAACAAAAGCCTCCCTGGAAATAAATAGTTTTTGCACTCTCTCATTGATTTTCTGATATACATTCAAAGATAGGCCTATTTCTAACAGCATGAGAATTGTGTTTGTTTTCCTGCTTGATGACCAACTAGTGTTGCAGTTGATATACGCTCCTGACTGTGTAAGTGCAAAGGCAAGACAAAGATTTAATTTCTGTGCCAAGAAACCTGGTACTAAGGCTCCTAACCTTTCTCCTCTGATTATTGTAACTTCATGCCAGTGAAATCTGTGGGTCTGAACAAAAAAACTCTTTTAAACTTCCTCTGATTTCTGTAAGAGGAACCATTAAATTTGCAGTAGTCTCTTTCCAGAGTGATTACTAGATTAAAGATCTGCTGTAAGTGAGCCTGCAGTCATTGAGCAGAGTGTTTTCCAGCCGTGACCTGAGAAAGACAATGCTTTCCCTGTTAGTAGTTGGCTTTGCTACTTCCCCCTGGGAGCTACTAACACAGCTTACAGGAAATGAACTTACAAAACATTTGTAAGGATTTGTTTCCTAGGATGGGTAACCATGCAGAATGTGTCTTTCATTGAAGATGCATGCCTCAAAAAGTGTGAAAAACTCACTGTGGAATACAAGGCAAGCTAACTGAGGGTTTAGGCATTTTTATCTTTCACTGTGACTACAGGAGCAGACAGAACATGAGGATTCTTCTTCAGCAGCAGTAAAGCAAGCATTAGGATAACACTACAAGAAACCAACAACATTTTCTTTTACATCTTCCATCTAGTTTAAGGCAGGTCATCTATGTTCCCTGTGTAGTCAGTGAGTAGAAGGGAAAGCTTCCAGATCTCCTTAGATTTTACTCGCTGCAGTGGATGAGCCATTCCACCGCTCTTTTTGTATGCTCGTTATGCTGGGAAACCTCCTGGAATTGCCTATCCTTGTCCTTGAAAACTGAGAGCAAGCAGGCTCTGAATGTGAGTAACTCTCACTTAAGTGCTTAAAATGAGGTAGGGTCAAGTCCAGATATAATTCTGGAACTACCAGGACATCAGTATAGAGAGAACAGGATTATAAAACTGAGATTAGACTTGGGACAGTATGCTAAACTTTAAAAATACTTGTTTAAGAAATGACGTATTAGATTTGATAATGTTTTTAACTGCCTTGATCTAATCATTCACATAACCATTTGATCTTAATAGACGTTCTGTATTTTTAACCTGTGGAGGTTGAATGAGCCTTTGTCCATCTTGAGAATTTTAGAAGATCATTGTATGTCTGAAATGGCACGTTTCTTTGCAGATCTAATATCCAGTTCTGCTGTATCCCTGATAAGTAAGCAGAACTCTCATCAAAGTTAATAGTAGTTATACAATAAGGTCCAGAGAGTGTATCCCATTCACCTATTAAAAATGTTTCAGATAAGAGCTTCACAGTCCCAAATGCAACTACAGACAATCCAGTCCCTGTAGGCAAATAATGCGAGATTGATGTGTATCTGTCTGTGCACACAAACACACACACATTTAAATACACGTTGTTGAATAAAAGAAAAAAAATAAATTGGAACCGAAAGCCTTTTCATCTACCTGAGCTAGACATTTGCCAAGTTTGCCTTTCATTCTGGAAAGGTTGATGACCTTGATAATGTTCAAGCAGATCTGTGAATCTTCACTAGTATTCAGTAAATACATTCAGTTCTATCAATTTGTTACAACCCATGATTTTAGTTTTAGCAGGTAAGTAGAGAGGCAGCTGCATTTGTTTTCATCAATGTGGAGTATTAAGGGAGTTTTTTGTTTGCTTGTTTTTTTGATAATTTATTTTGTCAGTTGTGAAGTACAGGAAACATCTTGAAAACAGAAGAAAAATACTTTTATCCAAAACTTCTAATTTATGCAATTTATGTATACAGTTCCAAAATACGTAGTAATGGCTGCCTTCTCACATAAAAGTTTGGCTCAGTAATAACTGAGTAACTATATTACTTCTGGTTAGTTTTAATTAAAATCCTATTTTAAATTGTTTAGCTTTCTATAAAAAGAAATAAGCAATCTACCACAGAGGAGATTGTTGCCATACACTGTGTTGTCCTATTGCCCTCAAGTACTTCAGAAAAACATAAATATTTTGTCTGTCTGGTTATCTTGCAAGCCTCTCCAAAACCTTCATAATACAATGTCTTCACAATATTTGGCTTTACTGAGGTCAGTTTTAGTGAAGCAGGTTCTTCAATTACAAAAGATTGGTAATAGAAGTCATAGGTTTTGCATATAATCTTAAGAAAATTTGGCTGAATCATGGAAATAATGGGGCCAACTACCACTTAACATTAAAAAGGGTTTATGTCTCCTCCTTTGGGTAAGTTCTACCTTTTCTGTATGCTAGGCATAGCTCTGTAGAACTATAAACGTTTCCAGTAATTTCCTTAGCATTTTTTTCTTCTTTTTCTGTGCTTGATGAAGGGGAAGTATTCATCGTGCCACTGATAGAGTACTGATTAATTGCTGTGGTCTTTGTCAACTTAATTTGAGTTGACCATATGCTGTATGGTATTTTCAAGCACATTTGTGATATTGTAACCTCATGATTATAATAAATTCTCACTAGGCAACGTAAGAAAATAGGGATAAAATAGAAGGAGAATTTGTATGGGTCCTCAAATTACATCCCAACCATTGGGAAAGGTAGGTATGATTTCTGCTGCGCAACGGGAAAACTGAGGCTGTGTGTGCTTACTGTTATATGTTTGAAACAGGAATGTAAGGGATAGCAAAGGGGAGCTGATATACATCCAGGATGAAGCTGGGCTATGTTCTTAAGCCTGTTTACTTTGTGAAATTGCTGTGGGTAGAAAAACAGGAAAAGGGAGGAAAAAATGAGGATAAAAAATATGTCTGTTAAGTGGGATAGCACTTAACCTCCTTTGCTTTTTGCTCTTCTTTCTTATAAACTGTGGAACTTAAATATTAAGATAAAAGACTATTCACATTCCAGTTTACATGAAATAAGATTGATTTTGTTTTAAATGCTAGATGTGGGGGAAGTAAAATTAAGTATTTGCCCCTTTGGTTAGCTGGAAAACATTTACAAAAGCAGTTCTAGTTATATATCATGTTTCAGTCTGGTATTAGCAACAGGAATCTATGCGAACATTCAAGTTAAGATTTCATTATCTATATTCACCTTTGTCTGTTTGCACCAAAGTGAAAAATGCAAGGAATTTTCTGGCTTGTGCACAGAACCCAGCTCAAATAAGTTTAATGAGATAACACGTTTGGTTTTGCACACAGATTCATACCTGCTGACGCACAAAGTTCAAAATGCAGGAGGCAAGAAAAAGAGCACAGTGCTTATATAACAATTGCTGTCCCAAAATACGTAAACCAGTACTTGAAAATAAGCCAAAAATACCTAGAAAAATTATAAACCTTAAAAAAAAAGCTTTATTTCACTTACCAAGAAGAGCGAAGTGCTCTCCATTGAATAATGTGGATTTTACGCTCTCTTTTACCTTCAACATAAGGTAAAGAAACAGTTATGGACATTATTCCTCTTTCACCAGAACCAGCATTCTACTTTGGAAATGATGAATACTATGTTGATGAGAGTGCTGGCTATGTTGAAGTCCGTGTCTGGAGGACTGGAACAGATCTGTCTAAAGCTGCGTCTGTTACAGTGAGGTCTCGCAAGTCTGAACCAATAACTGCAGAGGGTAAGTTGTGGTTTTGCTCTAGTTTCGTGATCATCTCAACAACAAATGCTAGTACATTTGGTCTTGATATAGATTCAGCTACCTAAGGTGAAATTTGTATGTCTTTTGCTCTTAGCAGATCTTTCTTCTTAGAACAAATTAAGTAGTTACAGAATTTCTCTCAAAGAAACAGCAGTAGGAGCAACTGTGAAGTCCAGCACCAAGAGAAATGCCTTCAGATACTCGTATAAAACACTGTCCCACAAAGACAGCTGATTAATGATTCAACAGCATACTCCGGGCACAGAGTTATAATCACTGGCAGCATGCAGAGTTTGCTCCTCTCATTTTTACTGTAGACAATGAGAAATTATTATCAGCAAGAGGATTGCTACAGCTGTGCGATTCAGTGATGCTTTGACAGAACCTTTGTCTGCAGAATCAAGTGTTAGTGTACTCTTTTTATTATTTTTTTTTCCCCAAACACAGTGCTTAAAACTAAGACATTCATATAGACACAGCACAAAAATTGTCTTCCTTAGATGATTATCCTGAGTGTAACTGGACAGTAGAGTTTATATTCTCTTTAAATTTTCAGTGAGGCAAAGTTGTGTAAAATTTACTGTTATATAAGGAATATCTAAGCATCATCTATATATAAAACATATGTGATAAACATCATATTTCTCATTAAAAAGAAAATTATGAAGTTTGAAAAAAAAATGATTATTTAATTTCTGAACTTGACCTGATGTCTACTTCATCCTTAATATTTAAGTTATTTTACTTCTGTGGGGAAAAAAAAATATATTCCTTACAGTCAGAATCTTAAATAATTGTGCCAGCACCTCAAGGATTCAAAACTGGGAATGGCACAGCTCTCTAGTCTCTTTGCAACATGGTCTCTAGTCTCTTTGCAACAGGCTGAAGGCTCTGACAGGGCTGGCTGCCTGTAAAGCCATGAACCTGGTTCATGGTCTTACACAGTGTAGTGCTGGATCTGCTGCCCTGAGCTGCCAGTCCGGACAACCTGCCTTAGAGGCTTAGCTTTGGGGTAGAGCAGCAGGGACTCTAACCAAGTAGCCATCTGATAATGGCCTTTAATATTGCCAGATTTTGTCAAATTCACAGAATTCCAAACCCTATTTCAATTTCAATGAAACTGTTTCCCCCAAAGATTTGTTTCAATAGCTCTGCTGCTTATTCCCCCCAAAAAAGGAACATTTAAACTCAGTCCTTTACCAAAGTTACCTTTAATGCTTTGGTGCCAAGACACATGGCATCACAGTGTCATGTTTTAGTCAGTATCTTGTTTTGTTTGCGTCCTTCTTACTGCTTTTTTATGGCTTGGCGTTCTTCGCTTAAAACAAACAAACAAACAAAACCACATAAAAGCAAGCCAGACCCAGAGTAGTCTGCCTCTAACAGTAAGGTTCCAGACCCTAACCTGGTCTGAGCCGAATTTCATCTTTTTGGTTTCCATTCATTCTGTTTTACACAGCTCCTCTGAACAGCAGTTCCTTGCAGTCACCTCACTGGCCTCTTCTCCTTCCTTTTTTACATAATAGTCTCAAAACTTCCAACTTCATTACAGAATAGTATGAACTTTCTTTCCAAAAAACTTTGCTTCATCTCCAGAGTCTCTCTCAAAACTTTATGCTTAGTTTCATTTCTCACTTACAAGAAACGTTATTAGTTTTAGTGGAATAACTGTTGGTTTACAACAGACCAGAATCAGCCCCATTTTGTAACTTGTATCACCAAACAAAAAGTGACTTAATATTGACTTGTTTCATTGTATCATTCAACTTTGATGGTCAAAAGATGTGTTTGCTTTACATGACTTCCAAAATTTAGGAAATTTTAAAATTGTATTTGAAAAAAGAGATTTACCTAAAATTAACTGCCTAATGATAGATATTTTCATTTTTAATTGCATGTAATGCTGTTTATTAATTTGATTTTTTTTATCTCCTTTTCATTGTTAGCTGGAGTAGATTATGTAGGCATCAGTCGTAATTTGGATTTTTCCCCTGGAGTCAATATGCAGACATTTCGTGTGGTAATTCTGGATGACCTTGGACAGCCAGTGTTAGAAGGAACTGAGAAGTTTGAGCTTGTGCTAAGGATGCCCATGAATGCTGCTCTTGGAGAACCCAGCAAGGCCACTATCTTCATTAATGACTCAGTCTCTGACTGTGAGTAATAATTTTTTGTACCTTTTCAGATTTATGCAGGAGAGGCATAAATCTGCAGGAGATCCATAAATCAAAGAGGGAAAAGGCTTTTCGCCCAAAAATTAGCAGGGCTCATTTACAGGGCTTTAAACTAGATTCGACAGGGGAAGGGAGTATTATCGGGTTTGGCTGTGACCAGCTAAGGGATGTTGTACCAAGGAAAGAGGAATGGGGTGCTCGTGAGGGCCTGCAGCCATTAGCTCCAAAATGTGCTGGCTATACTGCAGCATGCTCAAAGTCTTACATAGACGAGCCAGGAGCTCCTGGACAAACAGGAGCCAATGGGGAGGCATCATTAATACATGGCAAAGGAATACTGCCTGGAGAGCAGCGCAAAGCTGTTCCAGCCAAGTCAGCCTCAACGAAGACAGGCTGAAGTGCCTCTATGCAAATGCACAGTGCGTGGGGAACAAACAGGAGGAGCTAGAGATGTGTGCACACCTCCAAGGCTATGATCTCATTGGCATTGTAGAAACTTGGTGGGATGACTTCTATGACTGGAGTGTTGCCATGGAATGCTGCAGGCTCTTCAGGAGAGACAGGCAAGGGAAACGAGGAGGCAGTGTTGCCTTATATGTTAACAAGCAGCTGGAATGTGTCGAGCTCAGCCTAGGGATAGATAATGAGCCAACTGAGAGCCTATGGGTCAGGATTAAAGGGAGATCGGGAGCAGGGGACATTACACTGGGGGTCTGCTACAGGCCACCCGACCAAGAAGACTGAGTGGATGAAACCCTCTATATACAGATAGGGGTGGCATCACGTTCACGGAACCTGGTACTCATGGGAGACTTCAACCACCCTGACATCTGTTGGAAGGGTAACACAGCCAGGCATAGGCAATCCTGGAGGTTCTTGGATTGCATTGAGGACAACTTCCTTCTCCAAGTGGTTGAGGAGCCAACGAGGAGAGGAGCTATGCTGGACCTTGT